TATTTAGAAAAGCAGTTAGCATTTTTTCAAAATGAAATAGACAAGCTTAATGAAAAAATTCTTGTTTTGTATAAATCAAAAAAATTATTTCTTAGAAATAAAAATTCTAATAATACTATAGATAGATTCGAAGAATCATTGCTTTGCAATATGACACAACAACCAGAAACACCCTGAATATTATCTCTTCCTGAAAATCAATTACACAAGAGGTTGATAGCATTAGAGAATATTTTCAAAGTCCAATTACAACAGCACCAGCAATAAATAATATTAAAGAGAATCTTAATATAATTATTGATGCTGGTGATAGGTTTGAAAGGTTAGTACTAGATATATATTCACAGGCAAATGCTCGCACAATTAATACAGAAAATCAAGTAGCAAATTTGCAAACCCAGTTAATGAATTTACAAACCTAGTTAGCTACACTTCAAAATGATTATAATTCTCTCCAACAGAACTTAACCCGTGAACAACAAAGACAATATGATACTGAGATAGACTTGAATTTAATGACTATAGCTTATACTAATGAAGCAAAAGAATGCCATCGCTAGTGGTTCTCATATTGTGATAAAAATAGACAGGTTAGTAAATTAATTCAAGAAAAATTTGCATTGTATCTCTTAAATAGACGAACCTGACAACAACTACAAAAATATAAGACAGATGAAGCAATTACTATACATCTTTTAAATCTTACAGAAAAACAATATACCAAATGGAAAAATAAATGCAGAACTCTAGAAAATGATCTATTACTTGCTGATATTCAACTAAACAACAAGTGAAGTAAGTGGAAAAATCAGGCACGAAATTCAGAACAATTAATTAATAATTTGAATTAGCAAATTTTTGTACTTCAGAATAATCAACCTATAAATAACCACTATAGAGGAATAGCAAGATACCCACCTCCAAATTTTTATGGCTATCCCAATGAGGATCCTGAAGAATTTATTGATTCTTTTTACTCATATCTTGTGGCTGTAGAAATTAATATATTAGTTGGGTATGCTCACAGAATTCGAGCACATGGTCTTTTTGAAACATGTCTCAAAGGCAATGCTAAAGATTGGTATGAAAGATCTATTTGAAGAAAGAATTGGGAATTGAGAAATTTATTAAATAACACTGGACAGGCTACTTTAGCTTTGGCTCAAGGCCGAATGGCAGTACAACTTGAAGCAAATTTAAGACATGGTGCCATGGGCCAGGCCGGAAATATTGTTATTCCAGCTCATATAGTATTTGATAAAGACTGGTCTTTTGCTGATAGGTGCCCAACAGATCGATTACCCAATGCGCCAAATGCTAATACAGGCAATAGTGTAGTTGTAGTTGGAATCATGCTTGGACAAACAATATACTGGTTCAAGACCAACTATCCTACAGTTACTGCAGAAAAACAGTGAATACTCTTTGGGTTAACAGTTCAAGGCAATGATTCTGTAGGTCGATTTTATTCTAAGTTATGTAAACTTGCTAGGCTTGCTAGTATTGATGAACAACAAATTCAATTACAATTTATTCATAATATCTTTCCTGATAATCAATTAGAAATTTGACATATTGGAATTAACAAGCCTGTACTGAATTGCTTACAGAACTTGAAGAAATCAAAAGATATAAGACAGAGCAGTTATCTGAAGCATATTTTACTTCAAAACCTGCTATAGAGCATCAACAACAATTTTATTCTAATGCAGATATTAATAAACTTGTAAAAGAATAAATAGTTTCAAAGAAAAACAAAGTCTAAAGCCAAAACAAATATCTCAAGTTGATCCTAATGCTGAAGCAGTTAGACAATTTATAGAGATTATGAAGCAAGCTAAAAAAACTTTAGCTAAGAAGCCCAGTCCTGGTAAAAAAAAAACAAACAAAATTTATATAGATCGCATTTTAGATAATCTTGTAAAAGTCAATCCTGATCATGATTCTAGTGGTTTTTATGATGATGATGATTCTATTGAAGATATTTATAAACAATTAGAAGACCTTCATATCAATCAGACTAAAATTGCTAAAGCTATGAAAAAAAGTTAAAAGACCTTCAAATCAATCAGACTAAAACAGATAAAGCTAAGAAAAAGAATTCTAGCAAGTCTAAATCTTCTTGTTGCAAGACTAAATCAAAATCTAAGACCCAAAAAAAGAAATCATCAAGTTGATCAAAGCATGTTAATGCCCATATAATTTTAGATGAATCATCTTCAGAATCTAGTAGCAGTGAAAATGATAATACAATATCTAGCAAAAATGAACTTGAAACCAATACCTTGTCATATTCGCAAAGCAAATCAGAATCATCAGAATCATCTAAAAGTGAGTCTAGTAGTTCAGAAAGCGATTCAGAAGAATATGAAGTCAATGCTACAAAAAAAAAATAAGTTTTTCTAATACCAAAAGCTCAAAGAAACACAAAAGTGCCAAACCAAAAAAATCCAGTAATATCTCTTCTGTTAAAAAGAGCATTAAAGATACTAGATCACTTAAAATTCCAACAGATAATATTAGTCTAAATGCATTTTTTGCTATTTTACGATCAATGGTTGATTCATTTACTTGTACACAACCTAAAGAAGCATCTATTAATGGATATAATATGATTAATGCTGAATTTATTGCACTAAAAGATCCTGTTCTAAATTATTTTGCTTCAAATTTCTCAGACAAGGAATGAGAAAAGTTCAGGCATGAGATTACTATGATATTCTCACATATTTTATAACCAATATCAGATCTAATTCGAATTGCTTCCCAGCAAGCAAATACATTACCCCAAAGACCCTAGAAGAGATGCAACCGGAAGCGGAAATTTTATGGCCAAATCTTATAGAAATTAATTTTATTCGTAAAATTATTTCTAATGATGTTGCAACTATTACTTGCCAAATTACTTCACCATCAGGAAAAAACATTCAAGTATCTGGTGCATTAATAGATAGTGGAGCAAACTGCTCTCTTAAATCAAAAGGTCTTGCAAAACTATTAGAAATGAATATTGACAAAAATAAAAAAACCTTCTGTAAAATAGCATAATAATTCTTTAGAATCTATTGGAACTTGTTATAATATACCAATTACTTTTGGCTATGGGGATAATAGTTGTACAATTACAGAAGACTTTCCAGTAATAGATGATAATAAACCTTGGATATTATTAGGCACTCCTTTGCTTGATCGTGCTGGATGGGAGCCTATTGTCAAGTGTGAATTCAAGTTAATACATAAAGGTAAAGTAATTACTATACCTCTTTTTGTATATAAGTTCCAGAGAGGGATATTTAAACCAGAAATCAATTTGACTTTTCACAAACATGATTCGGTCCAAGTATCTACTGATTCTTCTAGTTCATTTAGTAAGAATAACAATATATTATTAGAGGAATGGCATGCTTCTGCAAGTTTTAGCCCAAATTTTAGTCTATCTAGTGAGGATAATTTATTGCAAAGCAAGTCGTTAGATGATAAATCAGAGATGAGTTAAAGACTCAAAGCTCAGCTTTCTCAAGATTTTATCTCTTCTTCAAATCATAACCCAGATTTAGGCTCTGCAATAAAAAAAATTAATTAGTGGTCTTAAACCTTGTATTCCATGCAATAAATCACAAGTTCAAGATATTTCTATATGGGAAAAATATATGAATCACTTTTTCCAAGATATATTAGAATATGATTTACTATCTTTTTCTTCTAATGCATGAATAAAATTATATATAGTACCATCTCGAATATATTTTTTTAATGAAAGTTCGAATA